GAAGAGGCGTTTTCCTCCTGCTGTTTTCCAGGGGAAGCACTACTGGACAGTGGCATCAGAATCACCTCCGTCTTCACCTCCCCAGCCCTCCGCTGTGTGCAGACAGCCAAACACATCCTGGAAGGTCGGTGAGAACTGGAGGGATCTTCTCATGTTGCCTTAATCTCATGGTTATTCTCCAAGCAGGGAGAGAAGTGAGTAGAGGGGAGAATTGGATGAGTGATAGTGAATGGCCACCTAAGTCATGAGACAGTTAGGAACCAGCCCTCCAAGAACTGTGAGCAGGCACTGAACCCATTAACGTTTCTGGAAAGCCAAGATTGGCCTGCTTCTGTCGTGTGTTTAAAAAAATAATAATAATCTGGGGAGGGGCATTCAGAAACCCAGAGAGCTGGGAACTGCTGTGGTCCCTTTTAAGTCCAAAATGCATGACTCTTCCAGGGGCAAGAGGATGGGCTGCTGGGAGCTGTCCGGCACCGTCAAAGGCTGAGGTGTGTTAGGAAGCCACGGGCAGGCCTGCAGCCTCCACCTGCAGGAAAAGGGCAGCCTGTTCAGGAGGCTTCGGTGCTGCTCCTCCCTCTGGACCCCTGCTGTGCCCACCCTGAGTGGGGAAGAGGGCACGTGATGTAATTCACAGTGCAGGGCACAGGCCGGTCCCCCACAGGGATAGGACGGAGGGCAGAGTACATGGACACAGGTGCAGCAGGTGTGTAAATGTGGAGGAGGGGCTTGCCTCAACTTTCTCAGAGACGTAGGAAGTCAGGTCACCAGCTGAGAGTGAGAAAGGGGAGGGCCTGCTGATGTTTGAGGAGCGCCGAAGGTCTGAAATGCTTCTGAGGGAGAGGGGCCTGGTCATAGGAAAATATAGGATGGCCATTGGGCCTCACGAAAAGCCCATCTGAGGTCAGTGAGCACAAATTTACATTGAGACCACCAACTGGAAGTGGGGCTTTCCTCCAGGCATGGACATGGGGCAGCAGGTGGAGCGCTGGATCAAACCATGGGCAGGTTTGAGAAGTGAGTACGAGGAAGCAAGAGAGGGCATGAGGAACTGAGGGTGCACCCCAGGGGCAATGACGACTGACAGTAGATTTTAAGCTGGGTCACATGGGAAGTTAGAGCTTTAGGGAGGTGAATGGTAGAGAAAAAGTGGTGAGCTCAGTGGAGTAAAACCCTGGGTGGATGGCTGAATGGTTGGAGTTAGAGGATGAGAGAAAGGAGGCTGCAAAGAAAGGAGCACTGGTTGGAGACAGAGAAAAGTCAGACTCTGAGCTTAGGGAAGGGTTGCAGTTGTTGGTAACGACAAGATCAAGGTGAAGGGAATGGGCTGCTGAGGCAAGGAGGAAGGCACTTAACTGGAGGAGGGGGACACGGAGCCAAGAGGCTAATGCTGGGTGAGCCATCTTGCAGGTAATGGTATCGCCAAGCCTTGTACCTGGAGTAGCGTCAGAGAGAGGGCAGCTAGCCGGGGCTGAAATCTTCACGGGAGGAGCTGTTGAAATGATGGTGGATCAACACAGCACGTGCACCACCACTGGCTCCCGAGTCTTCTCCCGTCTCCTATACTTACATCAGAGAAGCTCTGACAGGTGCCATCCCAAGTCTGGAAGCCCAGTCAGAATCCCTCCCAGGAGTGGAACTGATCTGTGCACTGGACCTGTGCAGGCACTTGGCACAATCCACTCCTTTCCTATGTTCTCATAAACTTGCTGTTTCATAATCCAGTCTCTAATTCCTGAGGGACAAAAATCCGTTTTATCAGCAGGGAGTGTCCACAGTCCACCTTCCACATATTTAAAACTCAGAGGCAGCATCTGTATATCTGTAGCCTGCAGCCATCCCTCATTTGTTGTTTCTCACCCGAGCATGACAGCGGACCCCCAAGCCCCCCTGCTTGGTATTTCAGGTCACTAAGATTTAGAATGCCAATTTGTTTTGCCTTACCGTGGAGGGCTCCATGTTAACTGTGTTGCTCCTCTGCCCTTCTGTGCTCTCAACTAGTTGAGCCAGATGCAGGTTAAAGAACAATGTCAGGTTTCTAAACAAACCACGTGAGGGCAGGACCCCCCAAACATGTGAATTCTAGTGTGGCACGTTGAGAGATGTGGCCTGGCCCTGAGGCTAAAACGAAGCTTCTTAACACAACTCATCCCCTCCCTACCAACACACACACTCACACACACACACACACACACACGTGCACACACACACCTTGAGGTTTCATTCAGCTACAGAGTCATAGACTCCAGTGTTGGGGGGACAGAGATTGGGAGAAGGAGACGGTCACCCTGCTGCTTTTTCAAAGCAGTGACTCCCACCCAGGAAACATGGACCCCATGATGTCAAGCTCCCTATTTCTGTGTTCAGATCCCTAGATTGCCCCACCCCACTCCCTCCATTCAGGAAGGAATAAGAAACGAGAAGTGGTTCCTCCAGTACTGCCTTTTCCAGAGGAGAATGGGGGAGAGCAGAAATGGCAACGCAAAGGCACGGGGTTCCCCTAATAGCTGGGTAATCTCTTCCTGGATGTATTTGTTCTAGCTTTTCAATTTGAGAATAATTCTTAAATATGATGGAATAAAGCTAAATAGATACGAAGTAATCTCATCCCTGGATTGTTTAGGATGAATATCTCTATTAATCTAACAACTATAATAATCAGATGTGAACAAAGCAAGAAACACATGCAAATACATGATAAAAGTGACGGACTGGTCCCTGAATCTCCCATCTCCCCCCGTCTCAGCCCTTTATATGGGCCATTTAATGAGCTTACTGTGTTCTAACCCACCCAAGAGGCTGCTCCTTTTCAACTAACTTTCAAAACCACCAGTTTCCATCTTTGGCTGGCAGCCCACTGACGAGCTGGTGTGAAACCTTGCAGACCACCTGTGTCCAGCCAGACCAGCACTTGAACATCAGTGATAATGATTTCCTCCCAAGTCGAAGGTTCTTTTCTAAGGATGATCTTAATCTTCCTTTCCTACCCAACCTGTCTCACCATGGTAAGAACATACGAATAAGAAGATAAAGAATATTCTTTTGGCCAGCCTTCCTAATAAAAGAATATGACTGAGAGCTTCAAAAACATTTTTCATAACTTTATCCCTTTTTTGTCATTGTTCATGTTTCCTCGTTATTAACGTATTTGTTCCAATTTTTTGTAAATATTTTTGACCTCTATTGTTTGTCTCTCTTGCATAAAAAATAAAAAGTTCTCAAAAATGTTTTCTGACGATGATAATGTCAACGTCTTTAACATGATCTCTCTTTGGCTTTTACTCTGTATGCAGATGATGATGATAATGATGATGATGAAGGCTGTTTAAAGAGCACACATTTATAAATCCTGTGCTAATCCAGAAAAACAAGGATACCCAGCCTTCTTCATAGGTCCTCAAACATGACCCACCTACTTTTCAGGCTGACATCTAAGACGCTGATAGGCTAAACTTTATTTCAATACCATGTCAATGAATGTCCAGATGGACCGTTTCCCAAAGTGTGACCCACACAACAGTGGCTACACAATGTCCTCAAAGGAAGAGTGGCCAACCTCATTTGGGAAACTCTCCAACTGTTCCTTCGTATGATCTATACACAACGGACACGAGCCCTTCACAGGCTCTGGGGAGAGCTCAGGAGCCTGGTTAGCCCAGTTTCACTCTGTTTTCTAAATGTTTTGACAAAGGAACCCACTCCATGGACCTGGAATACATTTGGGGAACTGGTTTTATTTCCAGCATCTGAGTTTAATGACACTTGCTCCATTTCAAACAAAAACATTAAGATTTTTTTCCCCCACTCAAAAAGAGATGGTCTTAGATTATAGGTCTTTTAGTCAGGTATAAAATGCTTAGGAAGGGTGAGTTGTGAGAAGTCAGAATGTTCCAGAAGATGGCTCCCTTCCACCCTTCACCTTTTGCTCAGTCTGGTCTAAGTGTTTATCAGGATGGCACTTCAGTGCAACTAATATGCTCTGGGACTGGCCTCATCTTTTCCACAGATCGTTGGATTGGCCAAGTTCTTATAGGTGCACTCTCCTTCTTGACCCGAAGCCAAGGCCCCAGTGTCGTCTGGCTGTAGAGTTGCATTATTGGGTGATCAGGATGAGCACAGGGTGGGCCTGCTGCTGGTGGTGGCTCCTGGGGGACCCTAACCCTTCCTGATGGACAGAGGGTCATCCTCCTCTGATACCTTCCAACTATCTGGTGGTTTTTGTCTCAGAAATAGCACGACTGTGCTTAATCACAGAACAATATTTGCCAAGAAAAAAAAGAGATCACATTGTTTGAAAGTTATTATTTAGACTTAGGAGGAGACTTATTTACATGAAGCCGAAAGGGACACTGAAGATGACAAACATTTGTATTCTGTTGAATCCAGAGCTCAAACTGGAGAAAAAAATTAAAATAAGAGTGGAACCCGGAATCTTTGAATGGACAAAATGGGAGGCCGGCAAAACCCCCCCGACCCTCATGAGCCTGGAGGAGCTGAAAGAGGCGAATTTCAACGTCAGCATGGATTATAGGTATGCCCTCTCACGTTGTCTCCTGCTGGGGTTTATCTAGTTCTCATTAAGGAAAAGCTATTCACGACACTTGTAAGAGACGGTAAGGAAGACTTTATTGAGGAGGGACCACTGCAGTGGGCGTTTGCAGTAGGGGAAAGAGATTGGACTCGATTCTGGATATAATAAGGACAAGTGGGGATTTTTAGCTGAGGAGCAGGGTAGGGGTGGGTGGATGGAAAATTACTAAGAGGGAAGGGTAATTCTTGCTTAACTGACCTAACAGGATTCTTGCTGAAGGCAGGCCAGAGTGGTCAGACTCTACTGGGGCAGTAGTGGGAGATGTTTGCTCAGATATTGAGGGTGGGGGATTCTGGCTACACTGACTTGGCAGGATTCTTGCGAAAACTGACTCTCCAAGGGCAGACACTGAAGCCCAAAGGTCGGGCTAGTTGAGAAGAGGGTTCAGAGGAGCCTAGAGTTTGGTCAAGGAGAGAATCTTTGCCATTCTCTCTCCGTGGCAGACTCTTGGCCATCACAAACCCGTCTGGTGTTCGGTAAGAACGCAGGCTGGAGACTGAACGCCAGCCCTCTGCCAGTTCTGAGCACAAAACTGGAGCCTCACTGTCGAGGCCTCGAGGCAGAGCCGTCTTGGAGAAGGTTCCCTTCTCCAGCTGACCACAGGCAAGCAGCCAGAGTGGCAGCCAAATCTTCCCCTCTCTCTTCTTTTAGGCCTGCGTTCCCCCTCGCCTCCCTCATGCCCGCTGAGAGCTACAACGAGTACGTTGACAGGTGTGCGGTGAGCGTGGAGCGGATCGTCAGCGCCTGCCCAGAGGATGGTGAGTGCCTCCACCGTCCTCGGGTGTGAGCAGCCCCCGGGGCTGGGGTCCTACCTCCAGGATGGAAACTGGCCGATCTTTCGAACCTCCTAATGCCCCAACCTCCCCCACCCCCACTCCCCAGCCAGCAGAGTGTTTTAGTGCTGTCTCTATGGTAACAGAGAGCATAGTCACATACTCCCCAACTCACAGGCCGTGGGCCCCCAATCCTGGGACTGAGAGCCGATAGGATCCAGGACAGCAGGGTCAACACAAACTGCCCGAGCTGCTTCCTAAAAAAAAATAAGAGTGTCTGTCCATATATTCTGCCCATTTTTTGATCAAGTTATTCATTTTGTTGTTGTTGAGTTGCGTGAGTTCTTTATATATTTTGGAAATTAACCCCTTATCAGATATATGATTTGCAAATATTTTCTCCCAGTTGGTGGGTTGTCTTTTCGTTTTGTTGATCATTTCCTTTGCCATGCAGAAGCTTTTTAGTCTGATAGACACGTGAACAGACATTTTTCCAAAGAAGATATACAGATGGCTAACAGGCACATGACAAGACGTTCAGCATCACTAATTATTAGGGAAATGCAAATCAAAACTACAATGAGATATCATCTCACACCTGTCAGGATGGCTATAATTAACAAGACAAGAAGTAACAAGTGTTAGAGAGGATTTGGAGGAAAGGGAAGCCTGGTGGGAATGTAGCAGTTATGGAAAACATATGGAGATTTCTCAAAAAATTAAAAATAGAAATAACATATGATATAGCTATTCTACTACTGGATATTTATCCAAAGAACATGAAATCAACAATTCAAAAAGACATATGCACCCCTGTGTTCATTGCAACATTATTCACAATAGCCAAGATGTGGAAGCAACTCAAGTGCCCATCAACGGATGAATGGATAAAGAAGACATGGTATATATATACAATAGAATACTACTCCACCATAAAAAAAAGACCAAATTGTGCCCTTTGCGACAACATTGATGGACCTTGAGGGTGTCATGCTGAACAAAGTCAGACAGGGAAAGACAAACACCGTACGATTTCACTCATATGTGGAAGATAAACAAGCAAACAAACATATAGATATGGAGAATAGATTAGTGGTTAGCAGAAGGGAAGGGATAAAGGGGCACATATGTATGACGACATGTAAAACTAGGTGTTCACACTAGACGTGGTGAGCAAGATGCAGTCTACAGAAGCCAAAATGTAATAATGTACACCTGAAATTTACACAATGTTATTAGCTAATAAAATAAAAGTTGCAAAAACTAAAAAAAAAAAAAAGAGAGAATAAGAACAGAAGAACCAAATGTCGGGTCATGTTTGAAGGAAAGTGGGAAGAAAACATCTATATAAGTAGAAGATTGAGACCATTTGAGAAATCTGAATATGGAAATAGTTTAAAAACTTTGTTAACTTTGTTAGGTGTGATAACGGCATGGTGGTTATGTAAGAATGAAAAGTCCTTCTCATTTGGAGATGCAAACTGAGGGATAGTCTGTGACCAGGCATGATGTTGAGATATACTTTACAATAATACTGCAGGGAGGGGGTGCTGGGGCAGAGGAGGGTTGCTGCCTGACAGGCAAATGTCGATAACTGTCAGAACTCAAGATGGGTCCACAGGGATCACCAGACCCTTCTTGGGGTATATTTGAAAATGTCCTAGTAAAAAGTTAAAATCAATGCTATAAAAATTTAAGTTGGCAAGTATGTAGTGAACATCAGCGATGTGTCAGGCACCAAATAAAACATCATGGGAAAACTGAAGTGAAGAAGGCACAAGCTCTACCCTCAAGGAGTTTGAATATTGTTGGGGAAGGGGCACAGACATCTGGAATATTAGGAATATTAAATAAGACAAAGAAGAATCTCAAAGAATCAATAAAAGACCCCCAGGCCCACTGCCCCCACCTGTGTTCTTTCCATCTCTGCTCCCAGAGAGGCTCGGGAATAGAGAACTCTGCAGAGGAGGATCCGGGGAGGAGCTGAGCACCAGGGGGCATGCGATCCTTGACATCCTTCAGGAAGAGACCGCAAACCTCGCTGTATCCAGCACTCCCAACACACTCGGCCACCAGGCCGGTTTACATGGCTGGTTTTAACTGATGGGTGCCCTGGGGAAGGTACTTTTGGAAACCACGCCTCGGTGGCATCTGATTAATCACCAACCTGACCTTACTCACAGTCATTGCCTCAGGACATTAGAGGACAGAAAGTGAAATTAGAGCCTTCACTGCGTTTTCGGGGCACCACCTCAGCCCGCCCCTCTCTGGATGTCCCATTTCAAGCCTCCACCTCGGGCTGAATGTCAGTGTCCATGGATGACCCTCCCTTCCAAGGACCTCCCTACAGTCCTGAGGTCTTCCAGAATGCGGTGCAGACCATTGTGTCCTTGATGCTGGTGTCTACTGAACACCGTCTTGTGCTGCCCACTGCAGGGACCACACTCGTCCCTCCGTAGTTGTGGCGCATGTGGTGGAGGCTCTCAGGATGCAGCACTTGAGCTGTAGAATGAGGAGGATTTGGAAGGCAAAGGACGCCCCAAGAGGAGACCGTGAGTAAGGCAGGAAGGCCAGAGGTGTGACAGAGCAACGAAAAATCCCGCCAGGCTGGAGGGTAAAAGCTAACACCTCCCACTCCCTAGACCTGGGTGGGCCCTTCACACACATTCTCTGTGAACTCCTCACCTTCCTGTGTGGTCTGAGCGGTCATCTCCATTTACATCGAGTCACTTTGAAGCTCAGAGAGGCTCAGAGTCTGCGTGTCCAGGTCACCCCGCCGGAGAGCACAGGCCAAGAGTCAGCCTAGAGCAGCATCCTGGCAACTGCGCCATGATTTTGGAGGCCTAAGATATAAGAGTGAAATTAACAGGAAAAGTGGATCGGGGCTTTGGTCTAGGTGTCACATTGGAGAAAGTATTGTCACGTTAGGAGGCAATATGAATGGATGCTCTATGTCAGCCATAGCTTTCAAAGGAAGCTCTCCGTTCTGATTCCCTCCTCCAGGTAGAGCTGGTGGGTCCAGCCACAGGCACCTGCCTGACTCGCCAGCTGGTCTAACTCTCCCCAGCTCTGCTTTGTCCTAGCCTTGACTCCCTAGTCGTGTCACCTGAGGGAGACTCACTCAGCCGGACTCTGGATGTCTTATCTAAAGTGAGAGTCATCAGCAGGCTCATTGTGATCAACTGGCTGATAAGCTCATGGATCAGGCCTGGGCGGCAGCCACCACCACATCCCACAGTGGAGCAGTGCCTCTCACCAGAGAAGGCAGCTCAGATCATGCACTGCCCCATCCCTGAAGCTGGCAGGCAGGTGCTGCCACCCCCAGACCCTGCATGAGGATGCGATGCACTCTGAGAACTACATACAAATGAGAGCAGACCAGCGAGTCCTACTAAGCTATCACCAGTCACACCTGCTTCCCACCCCGGGGTCTCTCCAGGCTTTGGGGCACCACGGGGTAGTTTCACCCGACAACTTTGGGGACTAATAAAAGGCACTCTCTGTACCTGCTTTGACTGTGAGGTGTTCTTTTTTCTGCAGTGGGCGTCATCCTGATCGTGGGCCATGGCTCGGCGCTGGACTCCTGCACACGCCCGCTCCTCGGGCTGCCGCCCCGGGACTGCGGAGACTTCGCCCAGCTGGTGAGAAAGGTACGTGCCGGTTCTTTTCTCTTTGGACCACAAAGTCAAGCACCCCGAGGATGCAGGGTCATCACACACCCTTCTCAGAATGAAAACAAGTGTCCAGCCAATGTAGGGCAGCAGGGACCCACCTGTCCCCTGAGAACGTGCCACCTGTTCATGTGCAAAGGGCAGCCTTGGGCAGGGGGCTGACAGAAGAGGTTCGTCTTCTTCATCATCATTATGGCAACTTTGGCCAATTGCTGCCAAGACAACAAAAAACAAGACACAGGACTTTCTTTACAGTCAGCTCACATGATTCCTTGCAACTCCAATAGTTGAATAAATGGTCCAGGAAAGAGTAAGCAATTTAGATAAGAAGAGAAAGGACATGCGCTGGGCTAGCTGGCTCTGGGAATCTAGGGGGTTAGGGTTAGAAACAAGTGTCCCCTCCAAAGTGTCTCCAAGGTGGTGTTTCCCAATTTTGACCCAGATATTCCTGAGCACTCTGGAATTCCTAGGCCACTGGTTGACCATCGTCCAAATACATAGCTCGAGCCCCCCAGGTCACACTGCGAAACGTCCATACAGATTTTGGGGGGGCACTCTCCTGGTCGGCCGCAGCGCCACGTGCTCCCTAAGAGTTCTCTTGCTCCTGCAAATGTTACCATATGTCCCGTTCCTGTGCCCCTTCCCGCAGCCCCGGGCTACCCTGGGGTTCCTCATCATCCACTCAGACAGCAGTGCTGCTCACGCCAGATGCTGACTGAGAACTGCATGTCGATGCTGTTCCAGAAACTCATTAGTCTTTGTAGCCAAATCGCCACCCCTCCCCTGACCCTTTGCCTCCTCTCTTGGGATTCCAGCCTTGAACTTCTTTGAACTTCCTTGAACCAAGGAATTGCTAGGCATTAAAAAGAGAGAGGAAAAAGGGAAAGCAGAACATGTAAACAAAAAAACCTTAAAAACCAAGATCTACTCTAACACATTCATTTAACAGATGAAGGAATTGGGGTCTAAAGTTTCACTCTGTACTTTTTTCTTGGGGCTGAAAACTCAATACCTGTATTTCTTTTGTGATGCTGAGTTCGAGAATGCGAGCCACTCTTCAGGCAGCAGGGTCGACTAGGGTTCTCAGCCTCAACACTGCTGACATTCTGGCAGGGTAATTCTTTCTGCAGGATGTTTAGCAGCATCCCTGGCCTCTACCCATTGGAAATAGCACCCTGTTGTGACAAATAACAACATCTGCAGACATGTCCCATTGTCCCATGGCGAGGGAGCCGTCCCGCACTGAGAACTGCTGGGTTCGGTGTTAGGGCAGCAATGCCAGTGTGGGCACATCATGTCCACCTCCAAGGCACGTGAATACCTCTCAGTTGGCTTTAGAACGAGTCTCAAGTCTGATTGACCTGATATAAAATATTAATGAGTGATGTAACTCTGTTCTAGATCCCTTCTCTGGGTATGTGCTTCTGCGAAGAAAATAAAGAGGAAGGAAAATGGGAGTTGGTGAACCCTCCCGTGAAGACTCTGACCCACGGCTCGAACTCAGCATTTAACTGGAGGAACTGGATCCTGGGCAACTGAGAGCCCCCTGTACGTTTTCGTAACTTCATAATGAAGAAGCAAAACTCTCCGCAGAGGCGTAAGATACTGTTATTTTGAAGGTATCTTCGCTTCGCCTAATATCATTTGTAGAAGCACAAAATGCACTTTTAGATTCCAGAATGTTTGCCATCGATTTCCTCTTTGTAACTGTGGATTCTTGTCCTGCGAGCTCGGCTGCGAGGATGCCACCTTGAAACGTGTGTCTCTGCAGTGTGGCTTGCAGGGGACTGAGGAACTGTGACTCTAACTTCTGGGAATTAAAGACCCACCACACGTGCACCAAAAGGATATCTCCACTTTATTTTATACGTTCTTATTTGTCAAGTCTCCAACCGTTTTTCCTTTTTATGTTTCAGTCACTCTTTGGCTGTGTCTACACAGGCCGAAAGAGGTGGAATATTCAATAAAACAGAAAGAGAAAACCATCTACCAGATGGAAACCAGGGAACTGCTGCTTGGTGTCCGCAGCCCGGGTGTTAGTCTCCTGTTGCTGCTGTCACAAATGACCACAAACAGCGTGCTCATTAAAAACAACACAAAATGTAAACACACACACACACACACACACACAGATTTATTCTGTTGCAGTTCTGGAGGTCAGAAGTTCTAGAATGGGTCAGCAGGCTACATCGCTTCCAGAAGCTCTAGGAGAGAATCTGTTCCCTTGCCTTCTCCAGCTTTTAGAGGCTCCCACATTCCTGACTCACAGCACCTCCCTCCATCTTCAAACACAGCGGTGTCACGTCTTCAAATCTCTCTGCGTCCCTGTGCTTCGACCGTCACATTGCCTTCTGCATCCCACCCTCCTGTCTCCCTTCTGTGAAGGCCCCGTGATGACATTGGGCCCACCTGATAATCCAGGATAACCTCCCCATCTCAAAATCCTTAACTTAATTCCATCTGCAAAGTCCCCCTTGTCATGTAAGGGGACATATTCTCAGGTCTAGAGACTAGGATGTGGACATCTTTGGGGCCACTCTTTGGCCCACCACATCCCCACACATTGGAGCTGCTTATACAGGAGCCCAGGGGGAAGGATTTAAGACATCCCCCTTGGTACAAGTCCTTTTTAGCTTCTCCTTTTCTTCCTTTTGGTAAAGGGGAGAGGGGAGGTGAGCTTTGCAAATGCGGGGAGTGGGTCCTGCCCTGACTAGCAGGAAAGAGTAAATGACAGAGGAACCCACCAGCTCAGTGAAGTCTGTCTGAGATGGTGTAAATCCAGCGGCGCCTCTGACTTTAAGAAGTTGGTCCAGGCAGTGGAAGGGGGGTTCCCCAATGGTGTCCTCTCACCCCATGCTCCTACAGGTCACACCCGTTCCCACAGCCAATGCATTAAACTGCACCCCATGATGGCGCAGTAAAACTTGATTGGCCTTTCTTCTTTCCCACCCCCGTTCCAGTTCTGATATTATCTCACTATCACAGCTGGGGACTGTGGCTGACCAGTAAGTGGCCTTTTAGAGGGCAAACACGGAGGCTGGAGGGCAGTACCAGCACTTCCTCTGTTGTCTCCTGGGAGCAAACAATAAAGGGTGCTCCTGTGGAACAGAGATGGTACACCCGGAACCTCGAGAGAGGACCAGCCACATCATGGAAAACAAGCAAAAAGGCCATACCTGACAGAAGGCTCCTCTCTTTTTTAGTCCAACTCTTTCTCCTGAGAGAAAGATAATACGTTTGTCCCTTGTTTTATTGTATTCATGACATGACTTTCCTCTCTCCAAACATAAAGAAGTTTAAAGTTGACACAGCAACAGAGCAGAGAGCACAGCCCACTCTCAGCCTGTTCCTATATCTGGTCTGCATCACAATGAAATCTTTAGGGAAATAATCCTACCTGCATCCCGACAGTTACTGCCTAGAAAACAAATGGATCCATTGGGATTAGGGGGCAGGCAGCACCTCCAACGGTGACCGTGCCCTACCCCTGAGCACTTGGATGACTTTTTCTTTCTCTTCAGCAAGTACCTGGTTGGACAGAGGTCTTCCCTCTGTTTTCTCTCCTGAATACCCTGGCGCCACAATGACCTTATTAACCACGGTGATGAATAAAAACTTTGCAAATCAAATGGAATTTAAAGAGTGGTCACCTTTTTAGGGTGGTCCACAAGAAGTCTGGATTCACCCTCTCAGGGGTGAGGCTTCTGGGTCTGATGCCCCTGGGTGATGAGGGGGCAGATAATGACCTTCCTCCTTACTAGGCTGCTGATGGAGGTCTGCAAGGGACACTGAGATGGGTTTGACTCTCAGATCTCAAGGTCAAGTGTGCAAGAAACACCATCTTCTTTATATTCTATAATTCTGGTTCTGACTAGACCCCCATTCTGCTGCAATGGCAGAAAAGTCCAGTTCTGTCATTTTTAGCTTCCAGAATGAACCTCATTATAAGGACTGAGTCGTGGGGAACAGAATTGTGCTGGAGAAGGGCAGAGATGGAAACGCCTTCTGGAAGTTTATCATTATTTGGTGTAAGTTTTCAGCTCTACGAACTAATAAGAAACCAAAAAAGAAAGAAAGAAAGATTCCTGAGCACGCTCCTCTCTCTTCTTTCCTGTCCCTGTGCGAGTCCCTGGGCGTTTATGAGCCTAGGCTGACCCCTGCTGATGTCATCTGGAAATGGACACCCTGTTCCATGGACTTCCACTCCACCTACATCGTCTGTTTGCTTTCCTCACTTGTGGGCTGGAAAAAACAAACCTGGAAAGGAACTCTCCACCGTATTCTGTTTGTATCCCCCTGACATGGCAGAAGTCAATGTTGTCCATGATCCTGTGGCACAATGATGGACTGGCATTCTTCCCTCCCTGTCCTTGGCTCTGTCTGAAGATGGAAGGTGGTGACAACGGGGAAGGGGAGCTGGTCTCCGGGCTGGGCAGCAAAGGAATTGAGGAGCCTGAGTGGCACTTGGTCTCAGCTTGCAGCCTCTGATGGGGAAGTGCTTAGCAACAGGTCTGGGGCCACCAATCCCCGGTAAACACTCTGCTATGTTTATCTGAGAAGAAGGAGCCATCGTAATTGTTCACTGAAGCAAATCTTATTTTAGAACCAAATTTGAGATATTTTAGGTATGAGTCATGTTGACGAATTTTATGGGCTGAATTGTGTCTCCCCAAAATTCATATGTTGAAGTCCTAATGCCCAGCACCTCAGAATGTGGCCCTATTTGGAGACAGAGTCTTTAAAGAGATGATTGAGGTAAAATGAGGTCATATGAGTGGGTCCTACTCCAATCTCCAGTCCTTATAAGGACTGATGTCCTTATAAGAAGAGATTGGGACACAGACACAGAGGGATGGCCAGGTGAGGACACAGGGAGAAGACTGCGTCTACAAGCCAAGGAGAGAGGCTTCAGAGGAACCAAACCTGCTGACACCTGGATCATGGACTCCCAGCCTCCAGATAGTGAGAGAATCGATTTCTGTTGTTTACGCCACTGTGTGTGGGGTACTTTGTCACAGCAGCCACAGGACACTAAGGCAGTGCATAAAAAACATTGATACAAACACCAAGAAATGCATCCCTCTGCAAGGCTGAATATTGGTGAGGTCGTGCAGCTCAGTACAAGACTCTCAATAAGTGTCACCATCAACTGAGGCTGTAAAAAGGGCCCACATCTCCCCACGACCTCTCCTGAGGTTTTTTCTGCTTACTTTCAAATGTTAAACGTGAAACTCCGACTCCCTGCATGCAGGTTTGTGTGAGGAGTGGAGGGAAGAACACAGGTGGCTCCCTGCCCCAGTGAGGAGCGAGGTCCGCTGACGTCCACTGCTGGACTGCCGAGCTCCTCTCTCCCCTCCTCCCGGTATTCGGGGAGTCCCGGGGGAGCTCCAGGTGCTCCAGAAGGAGTCTCTCGGCAAAGCCACCGAGCTTCCTCGCAGAGCCACTGCCCTTCACACCCACAGATTGGTGGCTTTGCCAATCTGCCATCAGGAGGAAAGCCAGGCACCCACCTGGGGTCACTGAGCAGTGCTCCCAGAGCCTCTAGTGCTCCCAACGCAGAGCCAGGCTGGGGGGTCTTCTGCACTCTGAGCCACTCTGTCACCTGGTCTTGGGGGCTCACAAAGTCCGACAAACAGCCCTAACTGCTCCCTCCTCCTCCTTCAGGTCCCCAAATCAGCCCAAGGAGCTGTGGAAGACAGAGGTGGGGCATAGAGGCACCCCTTCCCACCCACACTCACTCCTCTGCCTCAAGCCCAACACCAAAAGCCTGTCATCAGTATTTGCAGATGCTAGGACCACAAACCTGGAACCCCAAGAAACTCAGTCGAAAGCCTAGTACCACAAGAACGGGATTCAGCAAAGTGGCTGAGCTCAAGGACAAAGTTCAGCCATCAGTTGCTTTCGTTTTTGCCGACATCACTGAGCTATGGTGACAGGAAACGTCCCATTTCCAAGGCAATGAGGACAAAACATAAAACGCCCCGGAATTCACTCACGAGAACTTGACCACACGGTCGATGGGCACTGAAGGAGGCTGGAAGGGGTGGAAAGATGAGCCATATCCTTGCATGGAAAGAGTCAATGTCGGGAAGATGCCAACACCCCTAAATTAATCCACAAAGTGATCACAGTCTCATTAAAATCATGAAAAGGCTTGTTTAGGGAAAGGTGAGTGAATTCTAAAATTCATGAGAAAAAACAAACATTCAGGAATAACTAACAAAATCCAAAAAGAGTAATGGGATTGTAACCTATTAGAGAGCTACCATCACGAAAACAGAGAGGTGGCAGCACGGGATTTTAGACAGAGATTGAAAGTGTAAATGGTAAGACTAGGAATCAGCCCTAACAAGTCTGGGTGCTTACATATGGGAAAGCGGGTGATGGAATGACTGGGGCAGTTGGAAGATTATGTCAACAATGTTGGGACACCGTCTGGGGAAAAGAAGATTGGAATCATTGTGCGTGCACGCACACGCGCACACACACACACAAACATCAGGGGCCAGCCCAGTGGTGTAGTGGTTAAGTTCACGCACCTGGGGTTCATGGGTTCAGATCCCAGGTACGCACCTATGCACTGCTCATCAAGCCATCCTGTGGCGGTGTCCCACATACAAAAAAAATAGAGGAAGATTGGCACAGATGTTAGCTCAGGGCCAATCTTTCTCACAAAAAAAAAAAAAAAAATCAAAGATTTAAATGTGAAAAATGAAATTGTGAAACTACTAGAAGACACAATGTGAGAATTTCAAAAAATTATCTTAGAGTAGGGGTAAGGCTTTTGTAAGCATGAAAAAAAATTCAGAACTATAAATGGAAAAATAGATAAATTCAACTAATAAAAATTTTGTCACTTTTAAAAAAGCACCATAAACAAAATTAAAAAGTAAAG